GAATGTTAACATTCATAACTTAAATTTGCCTGCTTAGAAAAACTAACCATTTGTGGAAATGTTAAAAAGCTCCTTATCCTGAAGACAGTTTATCTCTGTGGAAAACACAAAGATGACTTCACAGGCCTTAGCCACAGGGGTCGTTTCCTGCAGGAGCGCACAGGAGCAGAGCTCCGGCAGTAAAGAGCACAGGGGGCGGGCACATGCAACAAGCCACACCCCCTGCTCCCAGCAGCCCTCAGTCAGAGCAAGCAGCAGCCAGGTAAGCTGCAGAGCCCCCACCCCTGGTCCAAAACAGTCCAGTGGCACCTTTAAGACCAGGTTTTATTCAGGCACAAGCCCTCCCTCCTCTGCGAGGACAGATCTGCACGTTTCCCCCCCACCCCCAATAGCTAGCAATCCAAAACAGTCCAGTGGAGCCTGAGTGGTGGGTGTTGCCTTCTGACACCCTTCCGGTGATGTCAGGGGGTGCGGCCTATGCAAATAAGTCATGCGAATGAGTTATGCTAATGAGCTCCTGCACCTCTTTTTCTACGAAATGACCCCTGCTTAGCCATATCTGATCACAGGGCGTTCAACGAATCGACACATTTCCAGGCAATGATCGTTCATCCGGAGGCATGGCTGGGGATCAGTATGAAGGCGGCTAATGCGCACGGCCTCTCAACTGTCCTTCTTCCTCCCGTAAACACAGCATTAAGAACATGAGCCTGCCTAGACAGGAAACGTGTATGTATTCATTCCTCAACCAGGGGCAGGGGCCTTCTCGGTCCTGGCCCCGGCCGGGTGGAACTCTCGGCCAAATGACACATCGGGGCCCTGCGGCGGGATCTGACGCCATTCCTCAGGGCCTGTAAGGCAGAGATGTTCTGCCAGGCTTTGGGTCGAGGGCAGCAACAGTTTTTTCCTTGGTTGGCAAAACCCCCCCCCTGCAAATTGCTGTTATGAGTTCCCTCTCCCCCTGCCCAGAAACTGGCCCACTAGCCCCGAGTTGGGGTAGGAATTTCCAGGACGCCATCATCGTGGACTCTGTCGGGGGTTTTAGAATTTTATTCTGTTAGAATTTCAAGGTTTATATGTTTTTATGGCATTCTGCCCTCGTGTACATTGCCCAGAGCCCAGCGTAAGCTGGGATAGGGCGATTAACAAATTTAATAAATGATGATGATGATGATTCCCAGGGCTTTTTTTGGTAGAAAAAGCCCAGCAGGAACTCATTAGCATAATAGGCCACACCCAACAGCAGAAACGCATTAGCATAATAGGCCACACCCAACAGCGGAAACACATTAGCATCATAGGCCACACCCAACAGCAGAAACTCATTAGCATATTAGGCCACACCCCATGCCTTCCCATGACTTACCCGGGCGCCCCGTGGTTGCAGGGAGCCCGGACAAGCCCCCCCTTGAAGGGAAGGCAGTTTAAACTGCCTTCCCTTGGGTTGCCCGGGTGCCCTGCGGCTGCAGGGACCACGGGCAAGCTGGCCCTTGGACAGGCTGGGGATGGCATGGGGAGGCATTTAAATGCCTCCCCGATCCTTCCAGGGGGGCCCCGGCCCGCCCGCCTCGGAATTGCCGTGTGTGTGTGGGGTCTGTTCTCCAGGCCTTCCCTCTGTAGCCATGCATGCAGAGATTTTGGCTGTAGTGGCTGTGGCCAACTCTGAAGCCAGCCAGCACTCCGTTCCTGTGCGTTCCCACCCAAAAATAGCCCTGAATTCCCTCGGTTTTACCCCAGATGTTTGGGAGAAGAGTGCTCAGCCAGCCCTGCCAGGTGGGAGGAACAGGGTTACTCTTAGGATCCTTTCCATCCAGCTGTGCAAGCCATCATCTTGCTCTTGATGCTGCCACCAAGGCTGGATGCCATTTGTCACCAGAGTGTGCAGAAGAATCCCCCTCCTGAAGCAGAATCTGGCTCAGCTGTAGGAACACCCCGCCCCATCACTACCTCCAGGGGTCATTTCCTGCAGAAGCGCACAGGAGCAGAGCTCTGGAATAAAGAGCCCAGGGGGTGGGCACATGCAACAAACCCCGCTCCCTGCTCCCAGCAGCCCTCAGTCAGAGCAAGAAGCAGCCAGGTAAGTTGCAGAGCCCCCCCTGGTCCAAAACAGTCCAGTGGCACCTTTAAGACCAAGTTTTATTCAGGTACAAGCTCTCCCTCCTCTGCGAGGACAGATCTGCACGACCCCCCGCCCCCCAATAGCTAGCAATCCAAAACAATCCAGTGGAGTCTGAGCGGTGGGTGTTGCCTTCTGACACACTTCCGGTGAAGTCAGGGGGGGGTGGCATATGCAAATAAGTTATGCTAATGGGTTATGCTAATGAGCTCCTGCACCACTTTTTCTACGAAATGACCCCTGACTACACTTCAGCAGAAAAAAGCGCGGGGGGGGGGGGGGAATGCTAGGCTTCCAGAGAAATCTAGAAATATAAACCACGTACCCATCTAACAAAAGTTCAAAATATACAGAGGCAGTTGTCAAACTGAATAATCACACAAGCAGCTGTGTTTCTCTTATTTAAGAGGAAGGGATACTGACTCGGCCTGTGTTTTATTAAAACACCTAACTCTGGAAAGTAATTACATTTGGTTACACAGCATATCTTCAGGCACAAGCAGGAGAATAAGGTAGCAGGAAGCAGCTTGTGGAATAAGAATGGTCGGTGGGCCGTGGGTGGAAAACTAATCCTCTCAGAGCCGCCATAGGATACAGCACTAGAACAAACAAATATACCATGCTATACCTTCATTCCCTGACTGGAGAAATATACCTAGAGTATGCCGTCCCACTGTATTTACTTCACTGCCTAGAAGCAAAACAGGGAAAAAAGATTTGCATCCAAAGGCTATGGAAACGTCACTGACAACAGATGGCCTCAACCTCTCCTACACGAAGTGCTTGACTGCTCACATTCTATTTCAGCCAGTTGTCAGACAACAGATGTAAATTATCTACCTCATTACGTGGAACAGGAAAGAGCATGTCACAGTATGAATTTGACAGGTTTCAATATAGGGGGAAAAAATGAAGTCTATCGCACAGAAAAGAGCACAAAAGTCCCTCACAGCAACCAATTTAATGCCTCTCCTTAGGAAACCAGCTTCCTTTATTTTTGCTGATGGCAACATCATCCACGCAGCAATATCTTTCTTGTATAGTAATTCTGGAGACTTGAGTCACTTGCTTTTTCTGTCCTGCACTGCTAATTCAAAATATATGCCCCGCTCTTTCAGGTTGCTACTTTGACTTCGGTTAGCACATTAGGCATTACACAAATACAGTCTCAATATTTCCCTTTAAGGTGCAGTGACCGATAACATTTTACCTTTGCTCCAGACCTACAGGTCAGCGCTATACTGATCTAAGGTTAACAATCCTGCGTTATGTTGCTCTGAAGTACATGGCTTATTTTAATGGTTTTTTTGTTGTTTTTTTGGAATGTGTAGAAATTATGGATTTCCTTGTTTAGGTGTGGAGTTGAATGGGCTTATCCATGTCTTCTTCTGCTTATCTGACAACTGTTCCAGGTGGGTAGCCGTGTTGGTCTGCAATACAAGAGCAAGATTCGAATCCCACAGCACTTTAAAGACCAACCGGATCACCGGGGTAGAAGCTTTGGAAAGCCAAAGCTCTCTTCATCAGATACTGACCGCTGAATTACGGATACATTTAAGTGAAAAGGATAAGCAAGTGAAGTACTGCTGAACGGTCCCCTGCTGGCTATCTAACCTAACAGCATCACTGAGCACTTTAATTGCTATATATGATTGTTTTATCTTGTTTTTACATGTTTTATATATTCTGGCACATGGTGCCCTTAATTGTAAGCCGCCGTGGGTCCGTTCGCGGGGAGGTAGGGTTGCCAAGTGAATTTCACTCACTGGCAGGGGAGCCTCGCCGCGCACCGGGAGCCGTCCCTCGTCGCGCGCGCGCCGCCAGCACATCACCAGAAGTGACGCGCGACGTCAATCACGTTGAGGGCGTGGCCACGATCGTCGGAGGGAAAACCATAGAGTTTTCCCTCTGACGATCAGGGGAAATCGGGCCTCCAAAGCGGGGGTTTACCCGCCACCTGCCCCCACTTGGCAGCCCTACGGGGAGGGCGGGATAGAAATTTAATAATAATAATTAAAAAATAATAATAAATCTTGGTGCTCTTTCTACCCCCCTGGGCTACTCCCCTCCCGTCCCATTTCTCTCTCTGCCGCTTTCCGTTTTTGAAAGCCTATATGATGGAGACAGTTAAGTTGAGCAAAACGATTGCCCTAATTTGTTCTGAACGTAAGACAAGAGTCTGGGATGCTATGGTGGGCCCAAACGGAGATTAGCCTTGGCACACAGCAAGGACACCCAGCTCTTACAATCGCTCGGTGAAAAAGCTTTGTGCCGTTTCTAACTACCCGGAAAAGGGCTAGAATTCACTGCATTGCCCTTCGTTTCATCAACGGCAGAGATGAATAACACCAGGGCTATTTTTGGGCAGGAACGCACAGGAATGGAGTTCCGGCTGGCTCCCGAGTTGGCCACGCCCAGCAGGAACTCATTAGCATAATAGGCCACACCCAACGGCAGAAACTCATTAAGATTGGCTACATTAGGGGTGTGTGGCCTAACATGCAAAGGAGTTCCTGCTACAAAGAAAGGCCCTGGGTTTTGACAACAAACAAGGTAAACAGAATAACAAGCAAAAGGTGGGTGTGGCTGGATGACCACATTTCTGGTAACATGGAGGTGTGGCCTAATATGCTAATATGTTTCTGCTGTTGGGTGTGGCCTATTATGCTAATGAGTTCCTGCTGGGCTTTTTCTACAAAAAATACCCTGAATAACATTGAAATACAGACGTTTTCTGCAATACGAGTGACGTTACAAAGCTGCACAGCGGCCAAACCTCCACTCTCCCGTGAAAGAAACCAGTTGTGCGGGGGTCACTTCTTGAACAGCTGGCTGTGGAGGAACTTTTGACCCAGAAGGGTTTCATTTCTTGTGTTGCGGTTACCTCTTTCCTCTCCGCGTCGGCTTGAATTTTTGCTTGGGTGACGGCGGCTTCTCTGTACGAGGAGGTGGCCTGCTTCGCTTGTTCAATGAGATTCTTCAGCTGCTGAGCCGTGCTGAGCAGCGAATTGACCATCTCCTCAAGGTACACCCAACTTCGTTGCTCTGTCATTTCTAGTCCGTTCACCACGGAAGAAGATATGGTCTTGGTGGGGGTGCTGGGTGGCACAGCCAAGGCGGGAAGCGAGGTCAATACTAGAGATTTAGAGAGCAAAACAAACCCATGGAATTAAAGATTTCAACCCAAGGTCAAGCTGAATTACAACAGGCTGTATTAACTTCAGACGCTGAGTCTATCCAGTAGGGCTGGTTCACTGCTCAAGTGACGCGGCTGCGAGGGGCGCCTAAGCAGGGGCGGGGGCCGCAACGTGGCAGAAGACAGTGGGTGTGTCTTACACCTACCATTGTCTCCTGCGCCGGTAGAGCTGCTGCCTTGGTGGGCTGCAAAATCCTTTCCTTCGCAGCCTGCCTTGGATCCTGCCAAGGGCAGGTGCATACCTCAACCATTTCGCTGCTACCTTGGATCCAGGGGCGGATTCACCATGAAGCAGACTAAGCAGGTGCTTAGGGCACCAGGGCCAAAGGGGGCACCACACAGTTGGGAAAAGGGTGAAAAGAACTTTATGTAGCCCAAGCTTGGCTTAGTATGTACAGTATATTGTGTTATCCTATGAATACATTTTTTTATCAAACTTTTTATTTTTGGATATAACAACATATTAAACATTACATCTTTTCTTTTAACAAATATCCTTTTCTCTTTTCTCCTCTCCCCCCCTCTCAGTGGCTTCCCGTAATGCTCCCCCTCTCCTTTCCATTTTATTGTCCCCTTATCATTATACATTGTCTCTTTCACATTTTCAGGTAATCATTTCAGATAACATTTTCTCACTTTCAAACCTTATCTATTACCATTCCCGCTCTTAATAACTATCAAAGCAAAGTAAACTATTTTTAACATCCCAATTTTTCTCAATATACTCTTTAAAGTCTGTCCATTCTTCAATCCTATGAATACATTTTTGTATTGCTGCAACCTACATCGTATATCTGGCCAGACAGGTCGACAACTAAAATGGACTGGGGGTCAGTGTGGAAAGGAGGGGGGGGCACCAAGATTGGTCAGTGCTTAGGGCACCGGTGAGCCTTCATCCGCCCCTGTTTGGATCCATTTAAAGCAGACTGCAGAGGAGGGTATTACTTCTGCGGCCTCCTAGGATCATGCCAGCTGGGCACGATGGGAGGTGGGCATTGGGGCTGATAACTAGCTTGAGCCATCCCCTGTTTTGATAATGCTTCGTGGATGGCTCTACGAGAGTCATACTAGGGACGGAAATTAATCTCCCTGGAAGCGAATGGTTCTTTAGATTAAATAGCATGAGTACACGACAGTTGTGACTCATACTCGTGTCTACTAACTGATTAGGGTGGCAATTGCCACGACAGGCTGAAGCTTCCCGTCTTGGGAAGCTACCATGGCAGATACCTCTACACTGCTTCCCAGAATAGGGGAGCGTTCTGCCATGTCCAACCCCCCCCCCACTGCAGTGGATCGCTTCCTCTTCCTAGGTAAGTGAGAAAGGACAGTCTGGAATAGCTTGAAGCAGTCCATATTACAGGCACAGAGGAAGCCTAATGGTATCATCAGAAACCACGGTGAAGTTCCTCTTTGATTACACACCCTGCTCCTCAGCAGTGTGTTTATGCAGAGGACCTGCTCAATCTCTCGCTGGAGCCATCGGTTCTTCACAAGAGAGGCCCAGTAGCAGAAGGGAGAACTCAGGGACACAACAAGTCCATGATTCTCCTTTGCAGGGGGGGGGGGAACGTAGGGGGGAGAGAAGTACAACAGGAATGTGTGAAGGCTACTGAAACAGTCATATTTCTTAATGCTTTAAAAGAAAGCTTGCATGGGTCCATTGAAGCATCATACCTGCAAAGAGAAGAGAACTGGCTACAGGAACCAGCCCCGTAACAGGGTAGTTGCCTGCTGGCGGCTATATTTTCCTACAGAAGGAGTCTTTGCAAAGACTTTCTCCTTAAATTATTACATTTTCACCCATGTGACTTACCGCCAATTGTGTTTTGCTTCCCTACTTTATTTTCAGATGATGACTTGGATATAGCCTTCTGTCTCAATCATCTGCCATGTATTAGATTTGCAATTTATAGTATGGCTACATTGCGTGGGTAAACATATAACCCTAAGAGTTTTCATTGAGTTAGTAAAGAAGTTTTCATTGAGTTAGCCAAGAAGGCCAGGCTCGCCGTGACGAGGGCCAGGGCTTTCTTGGTGGCGGCTACTTAGTGGTGGAACGAGCTACCGGAGGAGATCAGGGCCCTGCGGGATCTATTGCAGTTCCCAACAAATATCCTCGATGCTACCATAGTGCTACTTGAAAGGTACGTAATATTTCACAATGATAAAGCCAGTGGATTGCGCAAGGTCAGTGAAATAAGGTTTACAAGAAGGTCATGATCCTAAGAGAATCTCACCAATACAGGTGACTCACAAAGAAAGCATGGCATGTTCACTCTTTTAGGGAGAACATGGGTGGGGAAAAGTATTTTTAAAAAATCCAAAGTTATCTGGTCCTCGAGAGCTGGGAAGAGAAAGGCCTCAGTTTTGCCATCTGGCTCACTCCACTGAGTGACTCGGGACGGCGTTGAGCTGGAACTCAGCCACTGTAGTCATCTTAATATGCCATCTGAATAGGCAAGTAATGAACTGTACAACTAATAGCACGTTATGGTTCTTATGTTTTTATCTGTATTGTATTGTTGTCTATTGTTTCATTGGTTTTACCGGCAATTGGTGCCATCGCTGTAAGCCGCCCTGAGCTCACCTGTGGGGCGGGCGGGGTATACATTTAATAAATAATAAATTAATAATAATAAACAAAACAGATGTTTGCCCAGTTGTGTTCACGGGATTAGCAGTATTTAATGTGAATTGGAAAACTATGCTTTTCCTCGACAAGGATGTATTCGCAGAAGGGAGCGTTTTCCAGCTATTCGTTTTTCTACACGGTAAGGAACAAAGCTTGACATTTTCATCCTGCCTTTTTGTCATCCAAATATAGCGACTCACGGCAGCGAACATAAAAGAATGACATCCAATTACCACAAATATGACAATCCAAAAATGCATTCATAAAATATTGAACTAGTTACCCATAATCTACATACAATTAAAAGCATGGGTAAATAGGACAGGCTTTACTAGGTATCAGGCAAATGTAGGTATCAGCCAGTTTGGTGTTGTGTTTAGGAGCGTGGACTCTAATCTGGGGAAACTGGATTTGATTCCCCACTCCTCCACATGCAGCCGCTGATGTGACTTTGGGTCAGTTACAAGTTCTGTAAGAGCTGTTCTCTCAGGAGCAGTTCTCAAAAGAGCTCTCTCAGTCCCACCTACCACACATGCAGAGTTCCCTTTAAGCGGAGTTAGTGTGAGCTAGCTCACAGTTTTTTAGCCTCCGGCTCACAGATTTTTGCCTTCGCTCGGGAAGCAGGGCTCCAGAGCAAAATAATTTATGCAGCAGCTGAATCGCTTGCTCACAGCTTCAATGCCAGTAGCTTACAATGTAGAATTTTTGCTCACAAGACTCCACAGCATAGATGGAACATTGCTCACAGGGTGTCTGTTGTGGGGAGGGGAAAGGAAAGGAGTTTGTAAGCCACTCTGAGACTCCTTCAGGTAGTGAAGGGTGGGGTATAAAATCAATCTCTTCTCTCTCTTCTTCTCTGGAGAAGGCGTTTCATAATGGGTAACCACCATGGAAAAGACCTTCTCTCTGGCAATGACTCACTGAACTTCTAAAGGCAGGGAACTCAGGAAAGGGCCTCTGAAACAGACCTTAACTAACAGGCGTAGGTTCATATCAGAGCTAACCGTCCCTTAATAACAGTGTGTTAATCATCTGACCATTGTTTTCAAATACTGATTCAGGATTTCAGCTGACTGGACTGGACCGGTTAACATAACACAGAGCTAAGCGTCATCCTTATATTGATGAGGTCCAACTTAACAATAACAGTGATAGACAGGGGTCATTTCCTGCAGGAGCACACAGGAGCGGAGCTCCGGCAGTAAAGAGCCCAGGGGGCGGGCACATGCAACACCCCACCCCCTGCTCCCAGCAGCCCTCAGTCAGAGGAAGAAGCAGCCAAATAAGTTGCAGAGGCCCCCCCCTGGCCCACCAGGTACAAGCTCTCCCTCATATGCGAGGACAGATCTGTGCCGTCCCCCCTCCCAATAGCTAGAAATCCAAACAAGTCCAGTGGAGCCTGAGCGGTGGGTGTTGCCTTCTGACACACTTCCAATGATGCCAGGGGGTGTGGCATATGCAAATAAGTTATGCTAATGAGTTACGCTAATGAGCTCCTGCACCTCTTTTTCTACAAAATGACCCCTGGTGATAGACCTGGCCCTTTTTTAACGTGATATAAGCAGCTACCACAGGCCAGAGGTGACATTGTTTTATTTATTTATTTTTAGACATTGCTACCATTTCCCTCCCCAGTGAGGACCCCAATTATCAACAAGCATTCTTTGGGAGCACTCCGTTAAGGAAGTGTACACAGCACAAACCCGTAATTCTAGCTGGGTACTCAAGGAGCTACAGCGGTATTTTATAACCCCACTCAGTCAAAAGCTGCTGAAAGATTTCCAGATAAAGACAAGGCTCAGGAACACTGAAGCTACCTCAGTGCAGAAAAGGGCAACGAGAATGATCAAAGGGTTGGAAAACTTTCCCTATGAAGAAAGGTTGACGCGCTTGGGGCTCTTTAGCCTGGAGAAACGACGGCTGAGGGGGGACATGATCGAGGTTTATAAGATTATGCATTGGATAGAGGTACTTGTCTCCCTTTCTTACAATAAAAGAACTCGTGGGCACTCCATGAAATTGCTGAGTGGTCAGGGTAGAATGGATAAAAGGAAGTCCTTCTTCACCCAAAGAGTGATTAACACATGGGATTCACTGCCACAGGAGGCGGTGGCGACTACAAGCATGGACGGCTTCAAGAGGGAATTAGATAAGCATATGGAGCAGAGGTCCATCGGTGGCTATTAGCCACAAGGCATAGTTAGGGACTTTGGGGCAAGGGATGCTCTGTATTCTTGGTGCTTGGGGGGGTCAACAGTGGGAGGGCTTCTAATGTCCTGGCCCCACTGGTGGATTTCCTGATGG